AAAATGATGGCGCCAAAATTTGCCTCCAAATAATGACTTTAGTAACGAGGATTTTTGTCTTTACCGACGAGATTAGCCTTTGTCACAAATAAATGACTATTTGACGAAACATTGCAGATGGAAGAAAATTTTGTCAGTAAAAGTCATTGTTAGCGACGAATTTCAGCTTGCGTCGCTAAATTTCGTCACTAATGAAAGTCTTTTTTGAAGTGATTGTAGTTAAATTTAGGGTTCTAATACATTGTTGCTTTACTCTTTTTTCGTGGTTGAGTCCGCTTCAAAAAATTTAGTTTGATTTTAGAAAATTTTGCTTTTGCAGTCCTGTCTTGCCACCAACGCGTTCAATAGATGGAGACGGGAGAGGCGAAGGCTATTTTTTTGTTGTTGTTGCTGGTTTAGGGATCGGTTTGTGAAGAAGAGGGAGAAGAGAGGGGGAAAGGGAAATGCAGGAGAGGGGGATAACTCTTTTCTCCGACAAAAATGGAGTGAAGAAAGGAATTATGATCAGTAAGAATATGGTTATCTTACATAACGGTCTCTATTCTGTTTGAATTGAGCTTGAGAGGCTGTGATAAGGACGAGCTGCAACTAGAGGTGGCAATTAGGATCCAAATCCATGAATCCAATCCAATCCATCCACCAAATTATCCACCTAATCCAATCCATTTAAATCCAATCCATTTGATCCAAATCCAATTGGATTGGTGGATTCAAAGATCAATCCACGGATCCAAATGGAAAATTACGATTTGGTACCTATATTTTTTATATTTTACATTTTGGTACCTAAAATTTATATTTTTATACGAAAAATATCATTGAAAAATTACATTTTGGTACCTAAAAATTTTCATTATGACATTTTAGTACCTAAACTTTTCAAAATTTACATTTTGGTCCAAGCCTTGGATGTTATTTGGATTCATGGATCAATCCACCAATCCATTGGATCCAATCCATTTGATCCATGGATCCACGAATCCGATCCAATTGCCACCTCTAGCTGCAACCAATTCATAGTGAGAAGAGAGCTATGAACTGTGATCATGTCTTATTTCAAGTTAGAAGGTAGTTTCAGTATAAGGATTATTTAATTTGACAAGTTGTTTCGTCCATGATTCTTGGTAGTTTCAGTGCCATTCTAGCCAATGTTTAGTCTGTAATTTTTGAGAATTAATGTGCGAGTAATGAATTTCACTTAGCTTCAACTATTATGTGTGTATTTATTGGCATGTGATAGAATTCTCTTTTCCTTTTCATTGAATTCATTTTCATACTCTAATTGTATTATTTGTACATAGGCAAATCATGCTCGAGATGGCAACTCGCTGATATGGCTGGTGCAAGGAATGAAGCCATCATTAGAATTCAGATCGACAACGGGGAGGGATGCCCAGGACTAATTCAATGATGATTGATGATGGTATAATAAAAACTGCAGTCTGCATCAGCACCAATTTCTAGGCCTAAGTAAAGGTATTCAACCCAGAACTCTGCTTAGCGCTAAAAATTGCCCTCACCCGCCCTTGATCCTGTTTGACCCACTTCTGAAGAGTCAAGATATATGACTAATCCTCCCCGTTCGTATTTTCTTATTGACTCTTTTATGACCCTGTAGGTTGGGGCGGGTCGGGAAGAATTGGATTAGTGGGTCGGTCCTAATCAAGTGGAATCACAATCTCTTCACTCTCACTTGCTTTCTCTCCCATTCCACAAGTGGGTAACATACAGTAATCCGGCCAACGGGCCGGGTAATAAGCTAGTGAGGTTTAAGGACCGGATTCAACCCCAAAATATGACAACCAAATGACTTCCGGTATATGATGAATTTAATTCATTATTAGTTTAGTAGAAAGAAGGACGTGATGTGATTTTATGATCTCAAGTTTTTTTAGGGGAAAGATGCTTCAAGTTTTGTTTACTGCTATTATTTAATGTATTTAATTATCATCAATTGTTAAAGATATTTTAATAAAAATAATGTCCAGCCGGCTAGGATATTACACAAACAAACACATAGCAATAATGGCGCTAGGATCTTCCACAAACAAACACATAGCAACAATAGCATCATGTAGAAAATAAGAAGAGAAACAGCCGGCTGAGATTGTTTTCATTTATCCTGAAATTGCTGGCCAGCACCTGTTGGCTGAGCACAATTTAACGGCGAGGTTTGCAGAGGAACAAGAAGAACACTATCAATTTTGGGACAATTGACACAGGTCATTTCCAGACGGCAACAAATTTTATTAATCTCTCACCCATTTTATCAAATATCAAATTTAAACAAATATTGCGTAAAATGACATTTATTTAATATGTTTTGAAGTATTATAAATAAAATAAAATAAAATAAATCACGTCATCATAATATTATTTCGGCTGTTAAAACGAAGGTATGCAATAATTGTGTGCCACTTAAATACTGGAACCTACGAAACGAAAACGATACCGCTGACAAGCAGTACCTTTCCCTTCCTCTTTATAACTTAAATCTCTCCATGCCAAAAGGAGGACCACAATAGCAAGCAGAGTAGAGCAGCCATGAAAGCTTTCCCACTTTCTTCACCTCTCCCGTCTCTTCACTCCCCAAAGTCGCTCATTCATGCCCAACTGCGCAAACCCAATTTTTCAAAATTTGGTCCTGTTCTCCTCCCATTACTTCACAGCAGGGCACCCTCAAAATTCAAGCTCTTCTCTTCCCCTGTTTCGGCGGATCACCATGTACCGCTTGAAGCAGCTGAGGGCACTGCCCTGGCCTCCGAAAGATCGGAGAAGTTCGACTGGTACTCCCAGTGGTACCCGCTGATGCCGGTGTGCGATTTGGACAAGAAGGTCCCGCGTGCTCTGATGGTGCTGGGGATGGATGTGGTGGTGTGGTGGGACAGGAACGAGAACGCATGGAAGGTGTTCGACGATATGTGTCCGCACCGTTTGGCTCCGCTGTCCGAAGGGAGGATTGATCCAGCGGGAAGGCTGCAATGCGTTTATCACGGTTGGTGTTTTGATGGCTCGGGAAACTGCAAGCTCATCCCTCAAGCCCCTGCCGATGGTCCTCCGGTAAGTAGTTAGTTTGCTTGCTTCGATCATACATACTTTCTCTTCGTGAACAGCGGATCTCAATCAATGTTCGGATGAGTTCATTTGAACGAAAATTGCAGGTTCAGACAAGCAAAAGGGCATGTGTTGCAGCTTACCCAACAATTGTGCATCATGACATGGTGTGGTTTTGGCCCAACTCGGATCCTCAGTACAAAGACATCATTGCGAAGGAGAAACCTCCTTACTTCCCAGAGTTGGATGATCCTTCATTCACTACGGTGATGGGGAGCCGTGATCTTCCTTACGGGTAAAGTTAATTTTCTCTAGATTTAAACGGAAAACATTGGAAGATTCATCATATAAAGGGATTTCCTAAGGTAATATATTTAATATATATAAACTCAATCAAACACAAAATGAAAAGAAGGGAATAATTCTGATGCTCTGTTTTCGTTGATATTTAACCGGCCCGAAAAAGAAATAAAAATTGTCGGCTATATCAAGATTCCAATTGTATCACTATCATATTTTTTTATAAAGGTAAAATTCATTAATTAAGGAAAGAGTTTAGAGTTTAAAAAACCAGGGGAAAGACAAAGAAAGAAAGAGTTTAGAGTTTATATATTTAATTATTAATTGTAAAGGTAATTAATTTTGTATTCGATAATACCGATTGGGATACCGGTATATTTAGGGATTGGGATTGGGATACCGAAATTATTTAGGGATTGGGATTGGGATTGACTTTAGGGTGTAATTTGGTATTCGGGATTTCGGTATTTGGGATTGGGATACCGATACCGTACCGATTTCCACCCATACTTAGAAACATATATTACTTACGCAATGAATAACCATCATTTATAAAATATTTAGTGTTCAATTCCAAAATTAGCTTATGTATACACGAAAGAGATAACAAAGTATTGAAAGGTGTACAAACATAGTTTAAGTACCACAGCAACCCTCTCCGGTTAGCGAAGGAAAGAACAATTCAGAAATCTAGGGTTTTGGATTGAGAATTTAGGGGGAAATTGAGATCACATTTGGGTATTGAAAAATCGTGTTTTGGTGGTTGTTTGGCCGTGGAGAGATTTATGTAGGGACTAGGGAGGGAGGGAGGTATCCGACGAACACGCCGCTGATTTGGGTGGGTTCTGGAAGCGAGCCCTCGACTCAAGAACATGGTCCATATGAAATCGTACGGGATAAGTCAGTGGTATGATATTTTATGATAAAATCGTGGTTTAATCGTAGTTCAATCGTTAGTCCGTTAAATACCGCCTACTGATTTAGCCTCCAATATTTATATTTCATGATTGAACCGCCGGTACGATACAGTTTCATGGACCATCCTCCAGAAACCCCACCACCACCAACTTCGACCCCTCTCTCTCCAATCCCCGCCTCTCTAATTCCAATAAGCTAAACCACCATGGAAACAGTAATGGAGGTTTCCACCACCACCTGCATCACTACCCTTCAAGTTTCTACCACAACCAGCAGCATGCGGCGTACTAAAACCCAAACCACCACTACCCAATCAGCACCACAGCCAGCAATTGCTGAGCCAGGAGCTGGGTTTCTTGAGGATGATTCGCGGGATCCCGGTCTACCACCAAAACCCTCCCACGACAACTACCACAGCAACCACCAATCCCAATCCTGAATTCCCTTTTCAACAGCAGCAGCCTCATCATTATCATCTAAATAGGAAGAGAAGATTGGGCTTGTGGCTTGGGGGTTTACGGCGACGAAGGAAGTGAAGTCGAAGATCGGGAATTTCATCGAAATTGTCGATGTTCCGGCTTGGTCGCCCTATTATTATGTTTATTTTTTATTTTTATTTAGTTTTAATAAAAATATGAGGTGTCAGTGACGTGCATCTACGTGGCAGTCACGTTTTTGCCACGTCAGCAAAAGTCAATGTCAAGTTGATCATCGTCTGGGCAACCTTTTTTTTTTTATGGTTAATCAAAATTGTATTGAAGCCCGGGGAGGTGCAACTCGCAACCTCCCTCTCAAAATATCAACGTTTTACACTCCAATAAACCTATACCAGTAAGTAATTGAAAACAAAAAAAAACAGAACCTATAAGCCCAGCACATCCTTGGCCATCTTCTGTAGTTCTATTGTACTGCCTATGTATAACTTGAACTCCTGCAATACAGTGGTTGAGATTTGAGAAGGATCTGAAACTCTTCTAGCGCCATAAACTCGAGCACATCTCTCTCGCCAAACATATGCACAGCACATCGTCCATAACAGGCTTCCAACCTTAGCTTTCGAGCTTGTACCCGACCATCTTTGCGTCACCCAGGCCAAATGAGAATTCCAGCCTGGGAAAAGAGGCCACCTGCAGATCTTCTTTAACACTAACTGAAAGATCTCAGTGCTATAGGAACATAAAGAGAAAAGGTGATCTCTACTTTCAAAGCCACGCGGACAAAGAACACAGCAATTCTCACCTGCCAATCCCCAACTAACAAGTTTATCTTTCGTGGTAATGCAATCCAGGACAATCAACCAAACCAGCAGACTATGCTTTGGGATAAAAGGCTTACCCCACAAAACAGTACACCACTCAACATGAGGGGATGGAACATGAATGGAAGCCCAAACTAACTTAACAGAATACTTCATCAGTATTTGACCATCCCAAGCAAGATTATTACCTGCTCCAGTGATATGAGAGTGAGCCAATCCTCTGCATTTAAGTACTTTCTTCCATACCCATGAACTGGCTGAGCTCGCAGGAATCCCCCATATGTCACGCCCTTTAACCCTATACTTCTGGACCCAGGAAACCCACAAAGAACCTGCCTCAGCAAGCAAATTCCACAAGTGCCTTAAAACACAGGCCTTATTCCATGTCTTGAAGTCCCTGATCCCTAATCCCCCTTCTGCTTTGAGCATAGCAACTTTAGACCAAGACACAGGTGCTTTCTTCCTCCCATTCAAGCCAACTCCCTACAGGAACTTGTTGCACACCTCTTCAATTGACTTCAAAACTCTCATTGGTAATAGGAAGACAGCCATCCAGTACTGAAACACACTAGTGATAACAGAAGAAATCAACTGAATTCTCCCAGCATAGCTAAGAGTTTTGGCTTGCCAAGTGGTAATCCTCTTAGTTATTCTACTCACCAAGATGCTGCAATCCTGAGCTGACAATCTACCAGAAAGAAGAGGAACTCCAAGGTATTTCACTGACAGTTCTCCCAAGGGGAACCCTGTAAGATCTGAAATCCATTTCTGCTCTTCCTTTGAGATCCCTGCACAGAACAATTGGCACTTGGCCAAATTGCATCTCAACCTAGAAACATGATAAGGGATAAGATTTAGAGAAACATCCCTAGCTAACATACAAGAAAAGACATCCATGGCAATAGTAAATAGGTAGGGGGAAAGAGGATCCCCTTGCCTTAACCCTTTACCTGCTGAGAAATAACCACAAAGTCCCCCATTGAAAGCCACACTCAGCATAGGAGTTGTGACACAAGCTTCAATCAACTTAATAAAACTCATTGGGATATTCATAGCCACCATAACCTTCAACAGGAATATCCAATCCACAGAATCAAATGCCTTCATCAGATCAATCTTCAAAACACATCTAGAAGAAATAGAGGCCCTATGATAATCTTTAACCAATTCTGTTGCCATAAGTATGTTGTCACTACTAAGTCTACCTCTAACAAAAGCAGACTGGCTAGCTCTAATGAATTTAGGTAACACTAAGGAAAGCCTGTTTGCTAACAGCTGCGAGATTCCCTTGTAAACAACATTACAACATGATATTGGCCTAAAGTTTTGCATTCTATCCACCACTTCAAGCTTGGGAATCAGTGTTAAAATAGTAGAGTTTACCTGCCGAGGCATGATTCCAGTCTTAAAGAAATCCAAGACAGTGTCTTCAACAGACTTTCAAACCACATTCCAGTCCATTTTAAAAAACTCACCTGTGTATCCATCTAGCCCTGGAGCCTTATCATTTCCCATAGCCATAAAAACTGATTTAATTTCCTCTCTTGTAATAGGGGATGTTAATATGTGAGCATCACCCTCTCCAAGTTTGTGGCAAAGTATATCCTCTAAGAAGGACAGTGGAGTGTCCTGAACCAGAGGGTCTGCTTTACCTAACAAACCTTTATAGAAATCAACAGCTAGCTGACCCATAGCCTTCACCTCAGTGAGCACAATCCCCTCCTCTGTAACCAGCTTTTGAATAGTCTGTCTATGATTTCTAACTTTAACCATACTGTGAAAATATTTAGTATTAGAGCCTCCCTCAATAATTCTTCTAACTCTCGATTTCTGTCTGTAAAACTGCTCTTCAGCCTTCTGCAAATCTCTGCAAACCCTTTCCTGATCCAGTACTTCATTAGAAAGATGAGTAGATGGAACAGCTAACACATCCTGCTGCAGCCTCAAGCTTAGCCTCAGCTTCCTTAACCCGTGCAGAAATCTCAGAATATTGAGATCTATTCAAACCCTTAAGCTTCAACTTTAATGCCTTCAGCTTCTGATACAATTGGAAATATGGGACACCCCTAACTTCAGTTTGTCACGCTTCCTCCAGCAAGCTCTGATACTGAGGATGCTGTCTCCAGAATGTGAAAAATTTGAACGGCTTTGGCAAAGAGGAAGTCAATGGATCCGTGTGAACAAACAGACCACAATGGTCTTAGACACCAGGAGGCAATGTTTTAACAAGACTATCCTTGAAAACCCCAAACCACTCTTCATTAACCAGGGCTCGATCAATCCTTCTAGCAATAGGATTGACAGATTGCTTGTTCCACCATGTGTACCAAGTCCCAATAGTTTTATGATCAGTTAACTTCATATTTGTGATCCACCTAACAAAATCATCCATGCTTTGACTCTGGGGAGGACTATTTGAAGCTTCAGAAACCCCAATGATTGCGTTAAAATCTCCAAGAAAGATACCAGGCTCCTGAGTTATTACATGTCTTCTTAATTCTTCATACAGCTCAACCCTCTCTGCTGTTTTGTTTGGGCCATAAACCACAGTAACCACACAAGACTCTTCCCCAGACTGCACCCTCACTTGAATGAAATGCTGACCCATACCAATCTCAACCACTGACAAAGCAGGTTTCCAAAACAGCCAAACTCTACCATTATAAGAATACTTGTAATTATTAAGATGCCTCCAACTACTAAACTGTCTACTAACTATTTCATCAGCATTACCCTTCAAAACTCGAGATTCAAGAATAGCAAAGAAATCTACTCCTAACTGTGCAACTCTTTTATTCACGTACCTATGCTTCTCTGAGGAATTGAATCCTCTAAGATTCCAAACAAGCAGCTTCATATCTTCTTCTTCCTACCTCCCTTTTTCTTGGGAGATATAGGAACAACTAAATTATAACCCTTCTCATTCAGAGGCACTCGAGCACGTACCGCAGAATCAGGAATACGCATTCCACTACTCTGCACAGGACGATTCACTTGCACAGCCTTCCCATTCTTACCCACCAATTGAAACTCATCCTCATCCACTAAAGTAGAAGAAGACCCAGAAGCTTTACTCTCCATTACCTTTCCAATAACAATCGGAGGTGTACCTGCAGGAGTATTAGATGCTGCACCCACGACTAGTGTCCCAACCAGCGAAGTATCATTAGCAGCACACCCCCCATCTATTGCCACAGAGCCTGACCCCTCAACTATTATCGGAGAACCAGACCCACCAATCAACAAACCTTCAGCAGCAGCAGGAATCTCCACCTCTCCAGAAACTGGACCAATCGCCACACTCGCAACTACAACCTCCCAACACTTAACCCCCTCTCCAATTTTATGCCCAAATTCAGCACACTTCTCACATCGATGGGGAGCATGTAGATAGTGAACAAACAGAGTGATACTAGCTTCCCCTTCAGGCCGAATCCGAAGCTCCGTTGGGAATGAGGAATCAACAGCCATCTCAATACAGAGCTTAGCAGTCCCCATGTGAGTCCCCAACTTCGTCGACTGATGCATCCAAAGAGGCGCACCCAGCATACTAGCCACCCTACTCAGCCCTTCTTCTGTCATGTACTCCAACGGCAGCTCCCTAATTCGCACCCAAATCGGCAATCTAGAGCAACCCAGCTTAATCGACTGAATGCCTGGAACCCACTTGCTCAGGAAGAGCGGCACATTCTCTCAGTGCCAAGGACCATTCTCAAAAACCCAGGTACTCGTCTCCACACACTCAAATTGGAATAGAAACATATTCATACCAAAAACCGACACAAAAACTCGACCATCTCTTCCCCAATAACGTTGAGCCCAGCGGCGAATCGTTGCAATCGGAGGAGTTTCGGAGAGAAACTGACCAACCAAAGCGTTCCGCCACCGAACTGCTCCCTCCTCACGAAGAGATCGAGGGATTATCAGCTCCCCATCAACTAGCGCAGGTGCAACATAGCGAAGGCGATTCCCATCTCCAACTCCAAAAAGCTGAGCCCAAAAAGCTGGGCAACCATTATCTATAATGGTAAACAAAATTGTTATAACGTAAAATGACACAAAACTGTAATAAGTTGGGACACATTAGATATGACACAAATTAAGATTTTCTAGTGGTATTAGCTCTAATTATTATCATAAATTCAAATTTATGAGATTTTAGCTTTCAGGTAGTTAAGTTAGACAATTATGCATAGACGTGTATAAAAATAAATAAACAAATAATAAGAGAAACTCACACGAACACTGACATCAGTTGAGCTATAAAACCCGAGTGTAGAACATTGTATCTAGGAATAGGATCTCTCAGGGCAGAAGGTGTGTAAAGAGCATGTGTAGGTCTGTGTTTTTTCTCATATAAATAATCTGATTAGAAGATCTTGCTGCATATAGTAAGAAAATAGTAGTATTGAAGAAAGAAATAAATACTTAGTATTGAAGAAAGAAATAAATACTTAATACGCTAGGATTCACATTGATACCAAATGGTAATCCATGGTTATTGTCGTTCAAACAGGGGTCCCGTCCTTAAACTTATATTTGAAAAAGTTTTCAAGTCAATACTTAATAAATCGCGATAAAACGAAGACGAAAAACACAAAACACCGATTTTACGTGGTATCCCTGACGATGTGTCAGGACTAATCCACGGGAGAGTTGAACCTCTCCAGCTGCAGCTTTTATTATTTAGTGCATGTTACGATGGCCGATCGGCCTACAAGGTTTATATAGGCAATGATGCTCTCGGCCACTACTAGGGCAAACACAAGAAGGACAAGGTTTGGGACTAATGGACTTGTGCCACAGTGGGCTGCCACCATTTGGAATTTTAACCGGTTGAACAACATCAGTAAGCAATTCACCATTAAATAGAGAAGCATCCTTTGCTATGTTTTCGTTGCAACCGGAGTCTATTAACCATTCATAACCACCAAATGACGTACCTGCCATGTGAGCCGAGGGGTCCTCAACCGTTCGAGACACATTAAAAAACTTACGAAGCTGGTCGAGTTGCGCCATCGTGAAGCCCTGCACCGGGCTAGTGTCGGTCTCAGCTGCTGCGGCCTTCGGAGTACGCTCCCTCCGATTTGAACGTCGACGATCCTTTTGCTCTCCTTTATCGCTTCTGTCTCCATTGTCGCGACGACGTTCACCCTTGTCTGCCTTGTCATCATTAGAAGGCCATCCAATGAGCTCATAGCAAGTCTCCTTGAAGTGACCTATCTTACCACATTGAGAGCAAAGCGGTTTTCCATCACTGGTGCGTGATCGCGATGAACGTTCAGAAGTGTCTTGGGCTGCAAAAGCTGCCGCTTCAGGAGTGGGACGTCTCTTTTGCGCAAGAAGGCGCTGCTGCTCATCCGTAGAAACAATATTGTATGCCTCAGTGAGTGTTGGTGAAGGCTTCATTGACAAAATCTGACTTCGTACAGTGCCGAAGTTCTCATCCAGCCCCATGAGAAAATCCAAGAGGCGAGAGGCCTCCTCACGAGTGCGGGTTCGAGCTTCCAAACCACAAGTGCACTGTCCACAGGTGCATCTTTCCAACGGAGACATCGACTGGGCCTCCTCCCAGATTGTGCGAATCCGAGTATAAAAGGCCGACACCGACAGCTTTTCCTGCCATAATACGCTGAGCATCCGACGAAGCTCATACCCACGCGTTAGGCTGCTTTGCCCGCCTTCAAGTCAATCCAAACCTCACGGGCTGTTTTAGCGTACCGTACGCTGCTTCTAACTTCCTTATCCATGGAGAGGCGAAGCCAACCCTTGACAACAGCATCACACCGATTCCACGCTCGCAATTCGGGATCGGCAGGGGGTTGAGGGAGAGACCCATCAACAAAACCAAACTTATTTTTAACAATGAGGGCGTCGGTAACATCAACGACCCACTCACCATAATTCGAGGACGTGAGCGCTTCACTAACTGAAAGCTGTCCATTGACGTCGGAAGGATGCAAGAAGTATGCGGAAGTCGGGTCCTGTTCGAGAGCTACAATGTCCTTCTTCGAACTAGAGCCTTGGGGCTTCTTCGAGCTCTCATCATCACTCATGATGAACACCAATCACAGAACACTAATCAATGGATCAACGCTCTGATACCATAATAAATCGCGATAAAACGAAGACGAAAAACACAAAACACCGATTTTACGTGGTATCCCTGACGATGTGTCAGGACTAATCCACGGGAGAGTTGAACCTCTCCAGCTGCAGCTTTTATTATTTAGTGCATGTTACGATGGCCGATCGGCCTACAAGGTTTATATAGGCAATGATGCTCTCGGCCACTACTAGGGCAAACACAAGAAGGACAAGGTTTGGGACTAATGGACTTGTGCCACAGTGGGCTGCCCATTACAAGAGCACAAACAGACTTGGGCTGCTGGTCACGATCCAATAATACTAATTATTAGATCAAGCAAGAGAGAAGGTGAAAAATCTCCAAAAGGGCAAACATGGTATTGAAAATAATTAATAAATCTGAATTTTGAATCAAGATTTTCTCTTCTTGCGTTCATATGTAGGTATGAGGTATTGATAGAAAACCTCATGGACCCTGCCCATCTTCCCTATGCGCATTTCAAGCTCGGATCAACACAACCATTTAAGGGTAAATCCTGGTTTCTCACGGCCACTTCATCGTACTAATTACATGCTTTTAGTTCCTTTCTAATTTCAAGGAATTCAAGCCGAAAGTCTTTCTTTCTATTGTTTGGGCTCAGAAATGCGCGATAGAGAAGGGGGAAGACCACTTGATTTTATAGTGAAGACACAAGGAATAGAAGGATTTGATGCAGATGGGTTCGGCTACATTCAGTTCAAGGCACCCTGCTTCCTCTCTTATCGTATTACAACACCTGCCGGAAACAATAAGGCAAGTTAATAAAATTGCACCTCCTATACTACTGTAGCGGTCAACTAGAATTGGGCAATTTTGATGTTATGTTCATTTAGCGTATGTGAGAACGTGCTCATAACGTCCATCAAGTTACGGATGGATGTTACACAATCATTTAATAGTTAAAAAATATTTGATGTATAAAAATGTCACCACATCTATTCGACTCGACAACAACCCCAGATCCAACAACGCAAAACATTGTGAGCACTACAACTGAATTGGGAATTTGGTATGACAACTATTTGAGAATCCACCGTGTGGTCTTTGGTGTTGTACTCCAGGAATCTGTGCCGCGGAAGGCGGCTTTGATCTTCATGAGCGTTCCTGTGAGTCCAGGCAATAGTAGATACATTTGGGCCTTCCCAAGGAACTTCGATATTTGGGTGGACAAAGTTTTACCTAGATGGATGGCTCACATGGCAACAAACATAATCTTGGATTCCGACTTGTATCTTCTTCATGTCGAGGTGACCTTCTCAACTTTGGTAAATGACTACATGGTTACTAAATTCATATCTCATGGATTATATTTTGACATAATTATTACTAAAATAACCAATCAAAAATTTTTACTACTAAAACATTCACTCCATCTTAAAATTTAACAGACTACATCTTATAAAAATTTCATACAAATTAATTATGCTTTACGAAATTGCATTCACTTTAATAAATTTGAGAGAAAACAAAAAATATAGATGTTGGTAGAAACTAAAAATTAATATAATTGGTCCGAAACATTTTCTCCATAAATATATAAAAAATTTACAACACTTTGTGGATTATAGTGCAATTTTTTTTTATAAGATATACCATATAGTGGTAGGGTGTAGGTATATATAGTGTTCATAGTGATTTTAATTCACTTAGCTTTTATATCAAATTTATTCCAATCAAACTTCCGCTCAACACCACAGTTTAGTGAACATTTAAGCATTTAACCTGTGAAAATCCCTATTAAAAAAAAATACAACACTCGTGTGGGCTAGTATTTCAATTTGTAAAGTATTGACCGAGCACAAAGAATTGGCCAACAGGAACGCAAAATCAAGGAAATGGGGCCTAAGAATTGGCAGAAGGCATGTTTTTTGCCGATCAAGTCGGATGCTCTAGTGGTTGGTTTCAGAAATTGGTTCAGCAAATATGGCGATGGCAAAATTGACTGGAAAGGCAAGTACACTGATGATCTTCCTCCAACCCCACCAAGAGAACAACTCATGGACAGGTACTCGATCGATCGAGAAACTAGGGTTTAGCTTCTTCTTTTCTTCTTTCCCATTTAATTTGAACACATTAATTATCTCAGCCGTGATATATTTCTTACTTTCAGGTACTGGACCCATGTGGTTAACTGTAGCAGTTGCAATGGTGCATACAAGGCTTTGAATGCTACTGAAACGATCATTAAGGTCGTTTCCGTTGGATTAATCGGCATTGTTGCAGCAACTACGCAAGGGATGCTGTCAGCTGCTGCGAGAACTAAGCTTGCAGTCTTGGCTACAGTATGCTATGTAACTTCAAGATGGTTGGCTCATTTCATTTATAACAACTTTCGCTACCATGATTACAGCCACTCGAGCCCTGAAAAGGTGATGCTTCTTGTTCGAATTTGGAAGGCAGGCCTTTCTTAATTACTAGCTGTAACGAAACGGAGAATTTGGTTTGTCGTTAATTATCTGCCTCAATGCATGTGTACTGTTATGCGGAAGATTTTAGAGCATTCTAGAAGGATGTAGGTACATGCATGCATCTTGCGATTCATCCATCAATGTACATGCATCCCCCTTATCTATCTTTTATTCATGCACCTTATTAATTACATTCATGTATGGGGTGACTTCTAGGTTCGTTCATTTATAACGGCCATATACACAGTGGCGGAGCCAGAAAATTGGCCAAGGGCCTGTCTTTATCATATTATAAAAAGTCACCTATACAATAGAAAAGTCAACTTTAAATGAAACAAAAAGTCAACAACGCAATACTGTAAATTCTTACGATTACATTAAAATAGTTTTACGTAAACCGGTTACAACGTCAAACAAATAAGTTCAGTACAAACAAGTCAAGACTTCCATTCATCAAATATTACAAATTAGAACTTAGAAGTACCTTGGAATAGATTTTGTGAAACAAACAAGTGAACCTAGGGGTGGGCAACCGGTTCGGTAAACCCGAACCGAACCGAAACTAAATTAAACCGAACCGAAACTGAACTAATGCTATTCGGTTCGGAATTCGGAAGAAACATATGGATATTTCGGAAATCAGGGTTCTTTCAACCGAACCGAATTTCGGACCGAAAAACCGAAATACTATAATTGCAAGCTCAAATTGTGGATTTTTATGTTTGTATTTGTTTTTAGTCTTAAATATTTGAAATGTTTTATGACTTATGTGTTGAAAATTTTGATTTTATAATTGATGATGCATATAATTACATATTTATTGTTTATATTAAGGGTGAAAAATAATTTAAAAGTGAGAAAATACAAGTAGCCTCTCAATTTTGGTTTTGTGTATAAAACCGAACCGAATTATAATTCGGTTTAAACCGACCGAACCGAAGTTTAATTCGGTTCGAATTAGGTTTGGGGTTTGGGAGAATTCGGGGACCCGGTATTCATAAATTTGGTTCGGTCGAAACCGAACCGACCGAATGCCCACCCCTAAGTGAACCTCAATTGGTACTTCTTCAATTTCAGCTTTGTTTAAACAAAAGAAGAAATTTCTCTGTTGTAGAGCTACAAAAGAAATGAGCGAGTTTAAACAAAAGATAACAATTTATTACTATAAATATAGACGAAAGTGCATTGAATAACAAAAGTCACTCGGTTGAGATGGTAAGAAATTCTTCTTGCAACTGAATGGTCACTGGTTCGAATTTGTATATACCCCTACTCGGAGATTTTTTCTCCAAACCCAAGGGGGGTGCAAGCAACCCCCTTCTCTCCATGTGGCTCCGCCACTGCATATACATTGTACTTAGTGGAGAGGATGCCTATATAGGCAGCCCTCTCCCTCATTTGTTATTCATCCAGAAATAAGAGAGCTTTCCATCTCTAGAGCTTTTCACCCAACTTGTGAGTTTGAGTGAATACGAGTAAGGCTGACTTAGTGCTCTAACGAGACTTGAGAGCTAAGTATCGCACGGCCAAGAGTTGGTCCGTGACAAGTGGTATTTGAGCCAAGGTCGTAGCTCAGAAAGTGAGAAAGAACCTCAAAGAGATGGCTGGATCCGGAAGCGAAGTTCTCAACAATGAGAAACAACACGGTCGTGAGGAGAAGAAGGATCCAAACAGCACGAACCATCGTGATAGATCAACTCGAGAGCCTTTGGCGGCAATCGAGGAGAGGCTCACGAGAGCGGAGACGAAGATTGCCAAGCATACAACCATGCTCGAGGACATGGAGTTGAAATTCGATCAAGTCAGCACAGAGGTGCAGACTTCGAAGGACGATATGCAAGGCATGTGCACTCGAATGGCAGGCTTGGAGGTGGGCTTAGAAGCTTTCAGAGACGAGTTTGTGACCGTCATCACCAACGCCATCGACTCCTTGAGGGAGACCGTTCGAGGCCAGGTGGACGAAGTGAGGGAAGAATTTGACGAGCTTCGAGGAGAGCACAATCTCGTCAAACGAGTCGTGGCTAACTTACCTGCCGTGACTCAATCTACACCACGAGTAGATGTTCCAAGGCCGAAAAACTTCGGTGGGTCGAGGAACGCGAGGGAATTAGAGAATTTTCTCTGGAGTCTTGAACAGTATTTCAAGGCTTCGGGAATCAATGACAACGAAGTCATGGTGCGCACCGCCTCCCTTTACTTGGTCGACACGGCCATGGTTTGGTGGAGGAGAAGGCAAGGTGATATAGAAAGAGGCACATGTGTGATTGATACATGGGAGGATTTCTGTAGGGAAATTAAGAGGCAGTTCTATTCGGAGAATGTGGAAATGGAAGCTCATGCAAAGCTTCGACGACTCACCCACACCGGCAGAATTCTTGACTATGTCAAGGAGTTCTCGGAATTGCTACTCGAGATCCCCGATCTGCCGGACAAGGAGGCTTTGTTTGGCTTCCTTTTCGGATTGCAGCCTTGGGCAAAGTTGGAGCTCGAGAGGCGTGGAGTGCAAGATCTTGCTACTGCCTTGGCAACGGCAGAGGCTCTCACGCACTACGGGAAAGATGGCCTCTTGCAACCCCCAGAATTGTGTTGCAAAAGCTCGTAAAAGAGTTGCAAAAGTCTATTGCAACACTTTTAGTAGGGTTGCATATAGTGGGGGTTGCAAAAAGAATATGCACCTGTTTTTTTCATTTTTCGCAACCAAAATAAAAAGGGTTGCATATTATTACCTCTAACGCAACACCACCTAAGACAACACTTTCAAAAAATTTGCAACACATTTTTCAAACATAGGCAATATTTTTTACAAGTTTTCGCAACATATATAATTTTTTGTGAGGGGTCTTATTCGTCACAAATGACTAACCCAGTTGTGACAATTTTGTTCGTAACAAATACTAATATTTTCGTGACAATGCTATTGTCAATAAATAAACTTTTTGTGATGAGTTAGTGACGATGCAAAAATCACAATAGTGACATACCAAATTGTCACAAATATTTGTCATCTGTAACAATAGTTTTGTCACAAAAACACATTTTGGAATTGAAGGTGTGGATCCAGGGGACAGAATTGGTTGTCACTAGAGTGACTATTTGTACGTATCCAACACTATGTGTGACTAATTGAGATCGTCACTAATAAATATAATGACTATATGATTGTCAGAATAAATAATTTATTGACAAAATTTTCATCACTGAAACAAAGTTATTATATGAGTATGTCGTCACAAAAAATATATTCAGCGACAAAGTTCATTATCGCTACTAATATGTTGTGATGAGAATGGTTACTACATAGTAGACAAAAATATAACACCTAAAACCATAAATTGTACACTAATGAGGTTCTTCTTTGCCATCGTCAGATTGGAGAGTACATTTTGAAGACAACAATTCTTCCATGTTCGTCAAATGCTTAATTTCCTAAAAGTCAGCAAGGAGTATTTTTTTTAACTTCTTGTTTTGCTTTGCTATTAGTGCCTCGAATCGTAGATGAATCTATCTTGTTAAATCGGCTTTGCCTATGAATGGAAAGAGACAAGAACATCCAGTGAGAAAGCATAGTCAACCCTTACAAAGAGAGCAAAGCAAAATAAAACTAAGAGAAGCCTTCTAGCTTGCCATTCCCCATCACCAAGAGGAATAAATGGTAGCCTCCGGTTTGTTATCAGAGGATGGTAAAAAGGAGAATTCTTCTCAAAGATGGAGAACATGTCTCATCACTTTAGCTCCAGTTGACTTTGGTCTTCTTCTGTTCCTGTCATAACTAGGAGTCATGGCTGTTAAAACCAAAAAAAGTAAAACTTGAATCAACCTAAACGTACAAAATTGTTTGAATCCACAAACCAATTGATTATATGAGCAACGAACCCTAAGATAGAGACGCAGGTTGTTTACGACGAGCTTGTCGAAGAATTAGGTGAGTCGGCCGATCAGGATTCCATCATGGAGATTGGTAGGCTGCTGTGAAAGAGGAGAGGAAGGGAGGCCATTTGGGGTTTTGTTATAGTAACAGACTGAATGAAAAATTAAGGGCTTTTGTAATTGAGGAGGGTTTCTGCCCATGGCGGCGTGGAAAGGCAAGGGAAGGGCTTGTCTAATATTAATTAGAAGAAGATCGACTAGGAAGAGACGTATTGTAGATCTTTAACTTGATATGAAAATATATTAATGAGGTAACTAATAGATTAGGGGAATCGTAATCACGTTAGGTCTTCTCCTTCCTAATATTTGGATTTATCTCGTTTTAGTTAGTTTATATTACAATATCTTTGTCAACACATACCATTTGCAACTTAATTTGTCAAAGTGTTGCTTAAAATATACAAATAGGCAACACAAAATTCATTTCAAATATAAGAGTTGCATAAGATTAACAAGTGCAACCGATTTTTGTAAGGTAGCTAATTTTGGCCGCGTAAACTATATAATACGCAACTTCAAAAAAGAGTGTTGCTATTATATATATAACACAACACTTTCAAATAGTGTTGCAAGAAGTCTTTTTTCCCGTAGTGCACGGAGTACAAGAAGAGTGAGAGGCCGAACGAATCGAAGAACTCGAAGAGCAAGGGAGGAGATCATCGACAGCACTCCAAAGAAGGAAAAGGCTCGTACCAACATGGAGGCTCGAGCAAGGGAGCAAGATCTGGTAACTATGATAAGCCCATAACTTGTATTCTTTGCAACGGTCCACATAAGGTGTGAGATTTCCCAAAGAAGAGCAAACTAGCAGTCTTGGAGAAACAAGAAGGGGAGACCAAGGAGAATGCTAGGGAAGATAGGCTCCATGCTGAGGCTAGGCACGGCGAAATCCGGTGCCAACGAAGTTAGCAAGGGGAGATTCTTTGTGATCACCCAATTCTAGGGAGGCGAGTCGAAAGCATTGGTTGACACTGGTGTGACCGACAACTTCCTTTGAGTGGAGGAGGCGGAGAGCTTGGGGATCCCTTATGAGAAGAGGCAAGGATTGCTCAAGACCTTCAACTCCGAGGCAATAC